AAAAAAGTCAGAATTCTGACTTTTTTTCCCATGTTAAACTGAAATAAAATGGCCAGTGGCCGTAATCCTCTTCCGTACAAAATTGTTGAGAATTAAATTCTTTTTTTGGATTTGTCATTAATAAAAACTAAATGTAATACCCATCTTGCTTATCTTTCTGTTTTGAAAACAGTACACAGAAAATGTGTATTTTTCAATAATATTTAGGCTAGTAATTAATCAAAATTAATTCAAGAAACCTTGTGATTAATTAGATTTAAAAATTTTAATCGTTTGACAGCCCTATACAGAAGTTATTTGCTCTAAAGGAAAGTTTTAACAGAAAGAAAAGTTATAAATTCGGAGTTCCTCTTCCTATTGTTGTCTTTTTTTCATGTGTTTTTTATTAAATTGATGATGCACAGGCTAAAATCTCAGGAACGTATTATTAAAACAAAAAGTTAATTTACTAGCTGTAGAGAATGGAATAATTAGGTTGTAAAAAGTATCAACCAAGTATTTTTTTTGTCATGGTTAATGTTAAAATGTCTTCTTTTTTTACGTGAAATGATAACAGTGTTTTTTGTTTTTTTTTTTCTTTCCTACAGTACTTCACCTGCCTTCTGCTCATCCTCGTTGCTCAGGTCACTGCTGGAGTTCTCGTTTACTTCCAGAGAGATCTGGTAAAACACAAACTCTGCTTCCATTAATCCGTTTTTAATTCTTTCTTTTTCCTTATTTTTAGATTAGATTAGATCAGATGAGCTTTATTGATCTCACAGCGGAGAAATTCACTGGTCACATATTGGCATAGTAATAAAAGAAGGTGCAAACAAAGAGGAAAAAGGTGCATTAGAAAGAATAAACAATATATATACAGTATATCAAGATAAATAAGGATTAAGGTGCAAGTGTACATGTTTCGCACACAATGAAGAACAAAATAAAAATAAGTAATAAAAAAAATAAAAATACAAGGTAGTAGCACAGAGGTTTGAGGTGACATATGTACAGATGGCTTATATTTTCAGTGGATTATTTCTGTGGTCTGTAAACGTAAAAAAATGCCCCCCCAAAACCCCTGTTTGTCATACACTCCATCCCACCATGTTTTCCTCTGTGGGCACCGCTTTTTGCCTGCTGAGGTGTTTATATGTTTCCCCCCACAGCTGTAACCATGTAAATGTAGGTGTTTGGTTAAAAGCTGCATCCTGTGATGAAACAACGATCTAGTGGAAACTTACAGGATGTCAGTTTGTAACTGAAATGACCCGCGGGTCGGGATAGAAAAAAGAGATAAAGGGAAGCAGTGAATGGACTGTTTGTGTTGAATGATGTCAGTTCCCCCTTACAGGATGTTTTTAGCTTTCATATGTGAAACTGAGGGAAGTAAAACACTGAAATGACAAACGTTATCATTTTAGAGATGTAAGCATGTCTCTGAAAATACACCGCCCCCTATAGGTGGGTAAATTATGAATAGAAATAAAGTTTAGAGTAGGGGTCACTAACTTTTTTAAGGCTGAGAGCTACTTTATGGGTACAGAGTCATAGGACGGGATACCAATACTGACCTATGACCTAGAGGAGTCGGCGTTCACCTGAACTTCATAGATAATAAACATATTT